ATTTTTGTCTCAAGCGACTTTTTGTGTCGACGTGAAATCTCTGCTCCTAGAACTTTTCCACATTTCAGATAGACTGATAAGAGTTTGGATTCAATTTTTCCCCGGTTAAAGGGGATGGTGCCCCGTAGATACCTAAAGAGTATCTTAATTAATTAATACATCGGTAAATATTCCCATATTTACAGAATTTATTGAAGAATCCAAAAGTAAAGTGAAACTTACAAATTACTCGCTTCCTCATACGCCCAACATATATATATATATATATATATATATATATATATATATATATATATATATTTTTTTTTTTTTTTTTTTTTGCTGTGTGGAGTGCCTCAGGGATCCGTCCTGGCCCCCCTCCTCTTTTCCCAATATCTGCTGCCACTGGGTGACTTGTTTCGTCGGCACAACGGCAAGTTTCACCTGTTTGCGGATGATTGTCAAATCTATCTACCAGTAACGCAATAACTCAAGTTCATTTAAACCACTCTTGGACTACTTGGAGGAGTTCAAATTATGGATGGCTCAGAATTTTCTGTTCTTCAACCAGAATAAAACTGAGACTATCCTGTTCGGCTCAAAAAACACACATGGATGTGCCCAAGGGGTTGACTCCTTTATTTGCACCTTTTGAGAAGGCTGTGGTCACCAATCTGGGGGTGAAATTGGATGTAGAGCTCAGACTGGACAGCCAGGTCAATGGAACAAGCAGATCCTGCTACTTTCATCTCAGGAGAATAGCTAGGATTAAGCCGTTTCTTCCATGCAAACATCTGGAAACCGTCATCCACGCCTTCATTACCACCAGACTGGACTACTGTAACTTGCTTTATGCAGGCATCAAGCAGGCCTCCACAGCAAAACTACAGAAGGTCCAAAATCCGGCAACCTGGTTACTGACTAGTACCAGGAGATCTGAACACATCACGCCTGTGGAATGAGCTGCTTACATGTGTCAAACAGGCCACCACGCTCGGCAATTCTAGAGCCGTCTGAAAACACACATTCTTTGGCTTTTACTCAAGAGGAGTCTCGTTAATGGGTGGCTTTATTTCTTTATGTTGTGCAGCCTTTGGTACTTGGGCCATGTGAAGGCGCTATATGACGTAATTTCCGGACTATAGAGCACACATCAATATAGGCCGCAACAACAAAACACAGGTTTTCTACACACACACGCCGCACTCTAATACAAGCCACGGTGCAGCAGCCACATGCAGGTCTCCGACGCACAGCGCATGTATGGCCATAACATAAGATAATTAGACAGAAAGACGCTACACGGAACAACAGGTAAACAAAACTGTTTCTGTGTTTAAAAAGAACGAAAGCATGGAATGCTACATGGAGGTTTTTGTTGTTGTTTTAATTCAACAAAACAAATTTTAAACACGGGTGAATGCGCCTGCAAGTTTAGAAAAGAAAACAACACTGATAGCATTCAAATTTCTGGATGGTTATAAAATAAAAACAGAACTGACACGTTGTTACCGGTAATTTGCATGCATGTCTAGAAGAAAAGAACAGCGCTGACACAGCATTAATAAGCCCTGGATGATTAGAAAATAAAAACTGCACACAAAACATGCCTGGTTAGTAAATAAAACACACTTGCCTACCAGAAAAAGTCATTCACTCTCATCTTCCTCTTGTGCACTAAAGCCATTAAAGTCCTCTTCTTCAGTGTCGGAGTTGAACAGCCTCAGAAGAGCTTCGTCACATACCTTTTCTGTGGCGATGTCAGTGTCGCTGTCCGTGTTGCTGTCATCATTCCCGGGTGAAGCTGGCTTGAATGAGTTCTTCCCGCATCCGTCTCCAGCGCCGAACCATGGGTTCATTCATGCCAAGCTTACGTGCGGCAGCACTGTTTCCCTCCTTCACAGATCGATGGCCTTCAACTTAAATGTGGCATCATATGAACTCATACGTGTAGTTACCATGATGAGGGGGTATGGATTTGAAAAAAAATTCTTCGTCGTGCCGTGTGCTTGCATGTGCTAAATTAAAATGAGCACTTTCTTTGATTTCCACTTTTGACACCACCTGTTTCACTTTCTGCTAAAGCGCCCCCTGGCAGGTGAAGGAAAATCTTCAGTAAAGCTGCACCTCATTATAAGTCGCATGGTTCAAAGCGTGGGGAAAAAAATAGCGGCGTATAGTCAGGAAAAGACGGTAAATAAAATTTAGATTAGTTAGTTAGTAGACTTTTGTCGTCAATGGCAGTTAAAAAGTTTAGAGCGATGAGTTCATATTTTGTGGAAAAAAACACCTCAAGATCTGACTGTAAACATTAAAACCCTGCAGCGAGGGAAAACGGTTTCCTACATTAGCCCTTCCAGCCAACCAGAGGCAAGAAAGGCGGGACCTTCCTTGGACATCCTACAATTCCAAATGACGCTTCCCTGGAGGGAGGGGGAGCGGAAAACTGTACCGATGATGTGGAATTGTACCAGCTCCAGTCAATCACTAATTTTAAATGCAGTAGCCACAGTTCAACCCACAGGGGGCAGCACTGAGATGTTTATGGGACCTAGATTCTAGATTTAATCACGTTTACAAAAACATGTCAAAAATTCACAGAAAGATTGAACTGGTAAAGATCCAATTACACTTTAAGTTTGTATTTTCATCTCAATTTTTCTACAATTCCATTTTTGTTTTTTCACTGAAAAATCCTATTTTTTTCCAGATCCATGAACTCACCATTGCTAAGTGCTAATTCATGCTAGAAATAGCAGATGTCCATGTGATCGCTGACTTCCAGAGTCACGCTTTTTTAGTTAACACTTTTTAAAATAGTAGTTTTACATGTCGCATAAAGCTCTGCACTTGTAATTATGCTTTACTCAAGTCAAAATAACACAAGAACACTAGCAGACCTTTTTATTTTTTTAAATAACTTTACCATGAAAACCGATTTTAGATTAAATTTAAACGTTAGAGGTCTTCCATGGGGAACTTTGGCTCATCAAAGCATTTTAGGGTTTTAAAATTACAAATTCAAAAACATTTATTTTATGACGTTTGATGTATTTTATGTCTAAGCGCAATCTGAGTGCACTTGCTTAAGCAAAGTTAAAGATTATGTACTGAAATACAAAAAAAATGAATAAAAACAAAAATAAAGGGTGAAAATGATGCATTTGAAGAGATCTGAGTCAAAGAGTTAGCACAGAACAAACAACAGCCATTTCAAGGGCTTTGCTCTGGAAGCAGATCGATCTCATATTCCTCACAGGATCAATAGCATTGATCGGCATGGCTGATGGTGTAACCTCCCTCCTGAGGAGGCTCCAGCTGTAACAAACCGCTGGCTTTACTTACAACTCTCCCCATTAAAATATTAAAGAATGACATCTATGTTCAGCTTTGATGGGCTAAAACCTGGAAGACGTTCCTCAGCCGCTGTAGGATCATCAATAAGACGACATCCTTTAATGAGAAGCATCTTCAAAGTGGGAATTTGTTTTGAAGCGTTCAACAAAAAGATGCAGTTGAAGCAAATTATTCTCTCAACTGTGTCAGGGAATAAATTCTGTAAAAAAAGGTTTAAATGCTCCTCAAGAAGTCCTTTAAGTATAGTCCACAAATACAGGGGGGAAAAAATATATACACACACACACACACATACAGTGGATGTTAGCTACAGCACAAACAAGCAGAGCACACTAATTATGAGAAAACAGTTTCTTGAAAAGTAGGTCTTAGAGATAAGAACCCTTTTGCTTCTTGCGAAGCTGCGGGTGTTTTCTTTGTTGTGAGGAACTTGTTACAAATGAGGCTGAAGGTTGTTTGAGTGCGATCGTGAGCCTATGAGAGAGCGGCGAGTGTGCCTGGGGTCGTGTTGAGGAGATAAACATGGGACATTAGCTTCAGGCTGGATGAGCCTCTGGGGCAGCATGAACTAATCCTCTGTAATAGAGCGAGCACATTCACTCATTACCCCCCAGGCGTCCAGCGCTGGTCACTTCCTCTTTATCTCACTGAAGCAAAGACACCGAGTTTGTGTTTAAGGAGACGAACCACAGCAGGAAACCAAGGCAAGGTCAAAGGAGGGAACCTGTGGCAAGGACACCAGATTATCAGCTGAGCCTCGGCTTTATGAATTTTAAATGGCTTTACCTTGAAATGAGATTACTGCCCAAGATCTCTATGTTAAACTTTTATCAGGGCAACGTTACTGAAAGTACTGATGTGGATTTACCTCATGTGTTTCTGTCTCTAAATCTATAGAAAGAAACAAACATTATTGAAAGATAAAAAAAATTAAGAAAAGTTTTCTGTTTTGTTCTTGAAACCAAAAATCCGAGACAAATAGTGAAAATAACGAATAAAACTAGAACGTTTCTACGGAAACTTTAAAGGCCGCCATTGTAGCTACTCTTCAAAATAAAAGAAGACATACATTTCTTGTTTAATCCTGTCATGCAGGGCTATTCAGTTCCGGGCCTCGAGGGCCAGTATCCAGCTCGTTTTGGTGGTTTCTTTGCTCCAACACACTAGATTCAGGTGTTGAATCACCTGTGCAGCAGCTCATCAGGCTCTGCAGAAGCCTGTTGATTGAAATCAGGTGTGTTGAAGCAGGGTTAAAACTACAACATGGATAACGGCCCTCTAGGAAGGTCAATGGAAGGTCCGCAAAAGAATACAGAGACATGTGTGTGTGTGTGTGTGTGTGTGTGTGTGTGTGTGTGTGTGTGTGTGTGTGTGTGTGTGTGTGTGTGTGTGTGTGTGTGTGGGTGTGTTTGGGGTTTGAAGAGACTGCATGTGTGTGTGTGTGTGTGTGTGTGTGTGCATGTGTGTGTGTGTGTGTGTGTGTGTGTGAGTGTGTGCGTGTATGTCTGTGTGTGTGTGTGTGTGTGTGTGTGTGTGTGTTTGGGGTTTGAAGAGAGACACGTAAACACTGGTTGTGTTGTAAAGTGCCTTGGGGGGCTGTAGAACCCTAAGAAGGTCCTATACAAATACTTGTTAACAACAGGCGTATGAAGGTACTTCATCCTAAAGCCTTGAATACTGATCGATGCATGGCTCACACACACACACACACACACACACACACACACACACACACACACACACACACACACACACACACACACACACACACACACACACACACACACACACACACACACACACACACACACACACACACACGCACGCACACACACAGGTTGGGGTTTAGAGGGGTGTCCTGCTTCCTTTTGTTTTGTTTTAAAATGAGATTTTCCCTCTAGCAGAGTGAAAAGTGAAGCAGGGACCAACTCACAACCATATCTCTGCAGATGTGTACAGATGTGTAATATCTGACCTCCAACCACCCCAGCAGTGTTTGCTGTCAGCCTCAGCGGGTTAAACGTGTATGTGTGCTTTAGTCACATGAATTAATTAGTAACTGAGCTATTTCCTCTGGCAGTGGGAAGTGTCAGAACATCTTCACATGCATCAGCGCAGAGAGCCAGCAGCCCTCTGATAAACCTCCTGCAGTCTGACTACCTGGCCGCTACAAATCCCTCTCAGGGCCGAGGCCACTTTGCAGATTTGTATTCATCAGAGCCAAGAGTCCATCTCTGTGCCGCTCACTAATCAGGACCTTCAGAACAGCGCTGGAGACTATTAAACAGGACAGCAGAGTCTTCTCCGATGGAGCCATCACCTCTGCTGGTAGTTAATTCACTCTTCTTCGTGCTGTCGCTCCTCGTCTTCCTCCCAGTCTCTCCTTGTGTTTGTCTTCCTGTCTCCCAGTTCCTAACTGCTCCTCAGCGGTTTCTGCTGCCAGCTTTGATTTTCCTGAACATTCCCCATGCCTCACTGTGATGTTGAGGCTGATTCCATCCCGCTGGTCCGCCTCTCTCTGCTGCTTGCTGATGAGAGGGGCTGCGTCGGGTTTTGTGGCTGTATTAATCAAGGGCACGTGGAGCCGTTCCAGAAGCTGTGGGCTCATTACTGAAACAATTAATAATTGATCAAGTCACTCTGACACACATAGACTCTCTCACACCCAGTCAGAGACAGACAAAAGATAAACCAGGAGTGTTGAGATTCGTCAGCGGTGCAGAACTGCCGTTTCATCCAGGAGCTGTCAGGTGTGAGGCTGACGAAGCGACAGGACACAAAAACGCAGTCACACCCCAAAAACACGAAAGCTCCTCACGTCATTCAGAGCTGTTTTTATGTCTGTTTGTTTACGCTAGATCAGATTAGGATTGGCACTTCTTAAAAGTCGCAGCTTAATGTTGCAAAACATATGTCAGAGACTATTTCCAGATGTTGTAAGACGAAAGTCTACTCGAGTCGTAAAAGTCGTCTGCAGCTCTGAGGAGGACGTAGCGTCATGTGAGCGACCTCAGCTAGAGGAAGAGGACGTTAATCAAAGGCTGATAAACAGCATCAAAATGAGGAACTCTTTCACTCCATTACTATTTTATGTCCTTTGAAACTAACAGTTCTTTAAGGCAACACTAATAGGAGGGTTGCCGGTTTGAACCCTGGGAGAGACCAGCGGTGCTGATTGTGTGGCCCTAGAGTAGCTGTGCATGTGCTCTAAAACACAGTGGAGTCCCTGATTTATGCTATATTAATATTGTTACCCTCACTGAGACACTGGCTGTGTTTTTCCCTTTCACCCACAGGCTTGTTATTGGGCATGTGTAGACTCTGAGGCAGCTCCGCTCAGCAGGCGATCGCTGCAGCTGGGTCTCCTCGCTCACCTGCAGCTCATCGACTCATCAGACGGGAGGAATAAAGGTGCCGGGAAACCAGATTGTGTGGACACATCCATCCATCTCTGATATTTTCTGAAACCGCTTCAGTTCCTGACCTCTCTTTGCTTTTGCTCTTAGGTTTCCTGACCTCCAGCCACGCTGACTCAATCAGCAGCTCAGCCTGACTTCTACACTTCTCAACTTCTCCTCCAGAACCACGGCTCTATCAGGTTCTCCGGCTCCTTGGACCACCTACCCGTGCTCTCACCGTCTCACCCTCCCGGGCATCTCCTGTCCACCCTACAACAAAACACTGTAAGCTCTCATCATTGCATTATCTCCTCCTTCCTGCTACCAGCTACTCATCTTCAAGTCACCGCCAGTTCCTGCTCCTCACCTGCCCACAGCCCTGACTCCTCCAGCCCTCACCTCCCATCTCATTGCAGTAAGAATCCTCTCAAGCTCCTTTTTCTATGGCCCATCTCAAATCTGACGACCCTGTTATTCAGTCCAGTGGTCCAGTCTCCTGCTCCTGAGCCCTGCTCCTTAAAAACCAACCCTCAACCAGTTCTGGTCAATAAAACATTTTATTGAACCATCTCTTGGTCTCCTGAGGGCTTTCTCCTTGCATATGGGTCAGATTTATCCCAAAAACCATAACACAACAATCTGGCCGAAGTGACCCCACAGAGGCTCTCAGGAGATCCATTGTAACCTGCTACATATGCATGAGTCTGTTCTCCCGACCCTTAGGGAGCAGCAAGCTGCCACAAATCAGCGACTGGATCAACTTGCTGCTCACGTTGGTGAGATACATTCCAGGAATCATGACGGAAATGAACTTTCATCAAGTGCTTTAATTGTTTTATATTTAATTTTGACTTTTATTTACTGACTCAGTTCATTGTGGAGTACCTCAAGGCTCTTGCATTAGTCCCATTCTATTCTCCCTCCTTGTGCTGTTTCTAGGTTTAATATTCTGTTTAAATCAATCTGACATTTGTCACGAACTCCTCCAGCTGACTGCATTCCATTCATTCCTGCCACCAACGTGGCGACTGACGTCATCACGCCGGCACTACTTAAGGAAGTGCCGGCGTTTCATTCATTGCTCAGTCATCGTTTCTCACCAGACTTTGTATCGAGTCTCCAGGCTTACCAGCCCTCAAAACACTCAAACTACACCTACAGGAGATAACCACGCCGGCTATCTCCGTCTCTCCGCGTCTGGGCAACAGAACTCTCAGTCACGCTTCAGATCTGCCAACGAACCTGACAGGATGACTGAGCCCCAAGTTGACCCAGCGGAGTTCGCGCGTTTGCGTGCCGAAGTGGCTCAACAGCGCGCAATCTTGGATCAGCAGACGGCAGACATGAACCAGCTCCGTGCCATAGCTGATCGCCAAGCCACAAAGATTGAGTCACTCACCGAGCTAGTACTCCAGCTGACCACCGCTCTGCAACGTCAGACCGCAGCTGTTCCTGACAGGATGGAACCACGCCTCAGCCTTCCAGAGAAGTGGGACGGAACCAGGGGATCCCCGGAGGGCATGTTGGCGACCCTGGCCATGACTTTCGAGTGCCAGCCGGCACGCTACCCCACATCCTGCTCTCGTGTCGCTCTGCTGACCTCACTGCTGACAGGTCGAGCCGGTGAATGGGCGGCGGCTCTTTACAATCAGAAATCTCCTGCCTGCAATGACTATGAGACTTTTGTAAAGGAGATGAAAAAGACTTTTGTGCACCCCAGCAGCGAGGTCTCGGACGAGACGCGGCTGCTTCAGCTTCGCCAGGACTCCCAGACGGCGGCTCAGTACACCTCTCGCTTCCGGACGACAGCAGCTCGGTTGAGGTGGGATGACGCCGCCCTAAAGGCCGTTTACCTGGAGGGACTGTCACCGAGAATCCGGGAGGGCATGATCGGGCACGAGGTCCCAACCTCCCTGGACCTGGCAGTGGATCTGGCTCTCCAACTGGACCGCTGCATCCTGAACCGGCCGAGCACCATGTCAGCCCCCGTACACACCAGGACGTCACCCCGCCGGCCGGCTCACCAACCGACGGAGGAGCCGATGCAGCTGGGACATCTTCCCCCTGAGGAACGGGCACGGCGCTACCAGGAGGGAAGATGCGCTTACTGTGGGGATTTGGGTCACCACCGTGGCACGTGCCCAAAACGACCGGGAAAAGGTCCCTCCGGGTCGGAGTAGGAGCTGTCCCGCCCGGAGTCTCCACTTTTCCGGCTCCACACCGAACCACTCTCCCGGTCTCCCTCCACCTGGACCAAGGCCCGACCAGACTGGAGGCACTTTTAGACACTGGGGCTGCGGAGTGTTTTATCGACCACGGACTGGTTACTCGGCTCAAGATACCCCTCACCGCCCTCGACCGACCCATTCCCGTGACCTCTGTGGACGGCCGGCCCATCATGCCGTACCCTCTCACCCACCGAACTCAGGGTCTCCACATGACTATTGACCAACACCGGGAGACCCTCCACTTCCTGGTCATCCAGGCTCCGGCTACGCCTCTCATCCTAGGTCATTCCTGGTTCTGCCGCCATGAGCCTCACATCTCCTGGTCCACCAGTAAAGTCCTGGCCTGGGGCACGGGTTGCCATAACCACCGGGACTCCCCTGCACCTCGGGCAGCAGCAGCTCCTCCCAAAGACGTAGACCTGACGCTCATCCCTCCTCAATACCACGACCTCGCTCAGGTCTTCGCTAAAGAACCCACTACCAGGTTACCTCCTCACCAACCCTACGACCTGGAGATCAGGCTCCAGCCCGGCACCACCCCCCCTCGGGGTCGCCTGTTCTCCCTCTCTCCGGCGGAAACCCGGGCTATGGACAATTACATAACTGATGCCCTGCAGAAGGGATTCATCCGTCCCTCAACGTCCCCCGGGGCCGCGGGGTTTTTCTTTGTTAAAAAGAAGGAGGGGGATCTCCGGCCCTGCATAGACTATCGAGGGTTAAATAAAATAACGATCCGGGACCGCCACCCTCTCCCTCTCATGGGCACCGCTCTGGACGCCATCACACAAGCCGCAGTGTTCACTAAACTGGATCTGCGCAGCGCCTATAACCTCATCCGTATTAAGGAAGGTGAGGAGTGGAAGACCGCTTTTATCACGCCCACTGGCCACTATGAATATTTGGTGATGCCTTTTGGACTCTGCAACAGCCCCGCCGTCTTCCAGCGGTTCATTACAGATGTGCTGAGAGACATGTTGGGTCGCTGGGTCTTTGTTTATCTAGATGACATCCTCATCTACTCCCGCACGGCCGAAGAGCACATCCGTCATGTTCGAGCTGTTCTGTCCCGCCTCCTGGATCATGGACTTTACTGCAAACTGGAGAAGTGTGCGTTTCACCAGGAGTCCACCTCCTTCCTGGGTTTTACCATCTCCTCCCAGGGCCTGAAGATGGACCCCCAGAAGGTTCAGGCCGTAGCTCAGTGGCCTCTACCCACGACCCTGAAGCAGCTGCAAAGCTTCCTGGGTTTCTCGAACTTTTACCGGAGGTTTATACGCAACTTCAGTTCCCTCGCAGCACCTCTGACCTCACTCACCAAAACCACCAATCAGCCTCGCCCTTTTCGCCTTACTCCAGAGGCTGTCAGTGCTTTCCATGAGCTGGTCGGACGTTTCACTAAGGAACCCATCCTCCTCCACCCGGACCAGACCCGGCCCTTCGTCGTGGAGGTGGACGCCTCGGATGTGGGAGCGGGGGCCGTTCTCTCGCAACGGGGTCCAGACTCTAAGCTCCACCCATGTGCCTACTTCTCCCGGAAGTTTTCCCCCACACAGCAGAACTACGGGGTCGGTGACAGAGAGCTGCTGGCAATAAAGTGGGCGCTGGAGGAATGGAGGCAGTGGCTCCTGGGGACCACCGATCCCTTTCTGATCTGGACCGACCACCAGAATCTCATTCATCTACAGACTGCCCGCCAGCTCAACCCTCGTCAGGCTCGGTGGGCCCTCTTTTTCGAGCCGTACCACTTCCATATCGCCTACCGGCCCGGCTCCAAGAACCTCAAGGCGGACGCTCTCTCTCGGCGTTTCGCACCAGATGCCGGGCCCCCGGAGCCTCGGACCATTCTACTGGCTCAACGCTTCCTGGCCTCCCTCCAATGGCCGTTGGAGCAGTCCATACAGGCGGCACTTCCTGGCGATCCAGCGCCGCCGGAGACCCCACCGAACCGCCTCTACGTTCCCGCCTCCTGCCGGCAAGAGGCGCTCACGTGGGGGCACTGTTCACGGCTCGCGGGACATCAAGGGCAAGCCCGTACCCTCCAGTTCCTCCGTCGGGCTCTCTGGTGGCCGTCCATGAGGAGGGACGTCCGCGAGTTCACAGCTGCATGTGATGTGTGTGCTCGATCCAAGTCCTCCAACCGACCCGGCGCTGGAGAGTTGCAGCCTCTCCCTGTGCCCAAGCGGCCGTGGTCACACATCGGGCTGGACTTTGTCACGGGACTGCCGGCGGTCGACCACCTGGACACTATATTGACTATCACGGACCGTTTCTCCAAGGCCGTGCACTTAGTGGCCCTGGCCGGCCTCCCCACGGCCAAGAGGACGGCCGAACTGCTCCTGGAACAGGTGGTGCGGCTCCATGGTTTCCCTCAGGACGTGGTTTCCGACCGAGGACCCCAGTTCGTCTCACGCTTCTGGAAAGCGTTCTGTCGCCTGGTCGGTGCTTCCACCAGTCTGTCCTCTGGATACCATCCGCAGACAAACGGTCAAACAGAGAGAGCTAACCAGCAGCTTGGACGCTACCTGCGCTGCTTCGCTTCGTCCCAGCCGACCACCTGGCCCCGCTTCCTCCTGTGGGCGGAGCTGTCACACAACCTCCAGACCTCCTCAGCCACGAGTCTGTCTCCCTTCGAGACCTGTTACGGTTATCAGCCACCTCTGTTTGATCATCAGGTGCCCGAGGTGGAGGTCCCTGCTGCCCAGACGCTGGTCCGCCGCTGTCGGCTCGCCTGGATCCGGGCCCGTGCGGCCATCACCCGGGCCAACACGGAGTATGCCCGTCAGCATCGCCGCCGCCACCGGCCTGGCCCCGTCTTCCGGTCTGGCGACCAGGTGTGGCTCTCCTCCGCTAACCTGAGGATGCCGGCTGGCTCCCGGAAGCTCACTCCTCGCTTCCTGGGTCCGTTCCCCGTCCTTAAGGTCATCAATCCTGTCACCTGCCGTCTGCGCCTCCCGGCTACTCTCCGGATCCACCCGGTCTTTCACGTCTCCCAGCTTAAGCCGGTGATCTCCTCTCCTCTCCACCCTCCACCGGTCCGGGTGCCTCCGCCCCACGGTGTTGAGGCGGATCGCACCTACACGGTCCGCAGGATTCTGGACGCTCGCCGCCGGGGACGAGGTTGGCAGTACCTCGTGGATTGGGAGGGGTACGGGCCTGAGGAACGCTCTTGGGAGCCCACGAGCTCGTTTGTCGACCCTACCCTGCTGACTGACTTCTGGGCCCGCCGTCCTGGGACTTCGGGAGCCGTCCCTCGAGGGGGGGGTCCTGTCACGAACTCCTCCAGCTGACTGCATTCCATTCATTCCTGCCACCAACGTGGCGACTGACGTCATCACGCCGGCACTACTTAAGGAAGTGCCGGCGTTTCATTCATTGCTCAGTCATCGTTTCTCACCAGACTTTGTATCGAGTCTCCAGGCTTACCAGCCCTCAAAACACTCAAACTACACCTACAGGAGATAACCACGCCGGCTATCTCCGTCTCTCCGCGTCTGGGCAACAGAACTCTCAGTCACGCTTCAGATCTGCCAACGAACCTGACAACATTAAATCATTTGAAGCCTTTTAAAGAGGTTTTGCCTTCTGATCTGCCATCATGAATATATGTTTGATAAGGAATTACTAATTTTATCATTTCAATTTGATATTTTACACAAATGTTTGTCTTTAGATGACTAAAACTTACCAATAAACCCTTTATGTTCCTGCTAGGTATTTAGTTACACAATATTTTGCAT